ACATTAAAACTTTTATATATTATTTTGGTCCTCTGTCATTTTCAATCTCAAATCGACAAATGGATATTTTATATTTGAAAAGCATTTTATTATTTTAGCACAATATTTTATTTCGTATCGTCTTTTTCTACAAAAGTGACAATGAGAAGAGACGTAAATCAATGAATGTCCATTAAGATATAATTTTATAATATTTGTAATTATTGATTATATCAGATGTGAAGAAATTTACGAGGTTCTTGAACCCTAAAGATATAACAGATAAATTAAATAAACTTGATGATCGTGTAACCCGAAGGATGGCATGCAATAGCATACGACATGCAAGAAAGATCAAACCACTAATGACAAACTTCTTTCATTGTGTACGATGTTTGTAAGGAAGAACACAGATGTAGGCTAAATAAATCAACGAACAGTCTTGGTCCTATTGAAAATGTCAGTGAAAGTAAAGATCTTGTCTGCCGTCGACACCAGAATAAATAGAGGTTTTCGAAAAAACCTGCTAGACAAAATTGTTTCAAGTACCGACAGAATCGGAAGCGTCCCTTCTTTAGTTCACAATGTTCATGTCGATCTATTATGCGTCTCTACATCCAGCACTGGATAGACCTCATACAATAACTCCAAAAGCAATGTCTCCTGGCATAATATGGATTCCAAACATTCATGATTTTTTAATTGTTTTTTGGTTGAAAAACGATTTTACGATTTGGTTCCTACGGTTTTTAATGGGTAAATGACAAAAAATCGATAAAAAACGAAAATACCCCTCATTATCATTCGTCAGAAAGAGGGATCAAATTTATAGTTTACTCTAATATTTAACGTCATAAACCCAATCATGGTGCAAGAAATTTGTACGTAAAAATCGAACATGTTTGATAATTGTCAGTAGAAAATAATATTTAAATTTTAAATAAAGTTGTAAAAAAAGTAATCATGGTTAAACATAGACATCAATCAAACTCTAAAGTATTTTATCAGTAAAAATCAATCGTGTTCTCAAAATTAACCGCTTTGGCTTAATTTTGAAGGATTTATGGGTTTTTTTTCACAACTGAGTACTCAGATCAATTTATGTTCATCTAAACTAATTCTCCAAGACCTTAAAGATAACAGTCGGTCGAAAATTTAGTAACCATGAGAGAACTCAACTCTTTATCACTGAATAACAAACCCAAAGTCATACCAACAAACTATTTTAAGCAATAAATTACTGAAACCGCCTTTACCTAGACATAGCGGTGGAAGTAGGATTTTGACCGAACCTCCTAGGTACTTCATAGATCTGTCGTTGCCTATACACATCAGCTACCACGTTGGCCAATTGATGCCACATCATTATCTAATATGTTTGTTATTGTAGGTCATTTATAACTTCTTGAAAGAAAACGTGTAAAAAATAGAAATAAATGAATGGTTGTTCGGAGAGGGGATGAGATCACCCACCGCTTCCACGGCTCCGTCGTCATGGTCTTTTAAGAAGATTAAAGTGGAGTTTTCAAGCAATCGATACTTGGATCCAATTACAAGTTGGAGGTCTAGATTTACTCAAAGAAGAAATCGAGTAAAAGGAGATGCAATTAAGGTTTCATCTTCGAGAAGCTACATTGGATCTAGGGTTTTCAAAAAATTAAACTTGCTTTTGTTTTTTAAGAGGTGCTGAAATCTGAAATCTTATTTCACTTTTGATTTATAAAAAGGTAGTGTTGAAGTCTGAAATCTGAATTAATAAGATTATCAATAAGACTTTTGTTTTTTGTAAAATGATAAACGTCTGAATTTGTTTATTGTTTATTTACCCCTTAAAAAGTGATAGTGTTTAATTTATAGATAAATTTATACAAGTTCACATATTTATTCATCATCATTATGAAATTTATATCTAATTTATATAATTAGCATTTATTTAGATGAAAATATGTTGTATTTAACACATTTAAATCATATTAAAATACATTAATTGAGAGAGATGGGGATTGTTTTGGTAAGGATCTCTTTAAATAAATGATTGATTAACGTTAATCGATTAAGAAACACCGTTATTAAGGGTTTGAAGAACAATAAAAGACAAATAAAATGTGGGTTTTTCTCTTACCAAATGCAAAAAGAATAATACATAAGTGCCTATGAAAAAATGAAAAAAAAAACAAACAGTTTGAATGACCCTATTTCTTAACGAATCAGACATAAAAGACCAATAAAAGCTTTTTTTATATAAAAAAACAAACAACGCCTAAGGCTTTTGGTCCTGTATGCCTAAAATCAAATCCAAAAAATAGGGTAGCTCAATCGGCAAATAAAAACCGTATCTTGGGCTTCATAGGTGGTTCGTTCGAGTTTTATAGGCCGTTGATATTTATCTGGAGTCATTTAATGATATGACCTTAAACGAGTTCTTAATCAAATCCATGACCTTTGGTTATTAAAAAAATGAGTTTAAATTTATAAAAAATATCATAAATTCAATTAAAATCTAATTAAGTGATATGAGCTTTTTTTTATTTTTTTTATTTTGATTTATTAAATATTTTGTCTTTATATTTATGATGTTTTTAAAATAAAATGTTTTATTAGCTATAGATATATTGTAACACATTTAGATGCGACGTTTATTTTTAATTTGATCATATAAACTTAAATTCTATAAAGTATTTTTATATTTTCAAATGTCCTATCAAGTCAAATATATTGCAATACCACTACCATTGTTTATTATTAGGGATTGGTTAATTTTTTTGTGAAAATTCAAGTTCTGATATGGTTCGTCCCGAGATTGATTATGGAACCGGGACTGATTATATATATGGCCGAGTTACCCCAAAAGTTATTTGCTGACTTTAAATATCTATATTATATTATAAAACATTTGACAAAACTTTTAAAAACAATTTTTTATACATAAAAGTATTGTTTATTGATGCATATTACTTAAAATTTAAGACTACAAGTAGAATGTGCGTTAACACCTCTTATTAAAATTTCATGTTTGAATTCGTGTAACTAACTGCAGACAAACATCATTTTAAATATAAAAATCTAAAATATAATTAGGATAATCACCGAGTTCTAACAGAATACCTACTTATTATCTTAAAATTTTATTTTATTAGATAAAAAATAAATTAGTTCGTTATTAAACTTCAATTAAATTATAATAAAAAATTGAATTGAATAAATTATACAAAAATGAGAAATTTTTAATAGTTAATTTGCGGACATTTAATCCACCTTAAAGGTGTATTTGCTCGGCGAAAATCTTAGATCCGCCGCTAATTGTATTTCATATGTACAAGAGTTTACAAAGGATTTCTAAGAGTCCATTATCCTACGATGATATATACATGGGAAACATTGTAAAATTACTGCTACGAGACATGCATCATTGATTAACTACATTGATCGAGAGAAAAAATATAATTGTTACATTAAATAATAACAATAAAAATATAAAGTTCGTTGTATTTCGATCCATTTTATCCATGAGTTAAATATCGTTTATAATGCAAAACTTTTGATTATATATTTTTATTCATAATATTTCAAATGACTTTTAAAAATAATTATCAAGTGACTAGTAAAAACCGGTTGTTAATGGACGAACGGTTATAAAATATCATAATAAGAGATCATAAAGTAAAAATATTCAAAAAAATCTCATGAAAATCACTCGAAGTCTAAGAAACAGTAAGCACAACTAGGTCGTGAACAACCAACCAATCAGAATTGTCTCCCAGGAACTGTAACTGCCTCAAAAAGTCCCATTTTGTATTTAAGTTGCAGTACCACTCTGAAAGCAGAGATGCCCATATTAATAGCGGCATGGATTCAGTGGCTCTGCAGCCCCTGGTTCTTCAGGTAAAACATCAGGTTGAGGAGATTTTATTTTGTTTGGTACATAATAATGTGAACATGATCAAAACGGAATCATATGGTCATTATTGGATAAGTGATACCGAGGTTATTCGTAGAACCCAATTTTATTGAAAGTAAAAGATTCAAACTTCACCGAAAGTTAGGAGTCTATGTAAGTATATTTGAATAAAACACAACCACAACTCTATATAGATATAGTATTCTTGTTTGTATATCATTATAAATTATTGTCTCTATGCTTAATATAATTAGATATTTTAATATAAACCAGCAAAACAAGTATATAAGACAAAATGTTAATAGACATTTTGAACCTTCATACATTATTATTCCTTTTACATACTAACCATTGGTTTATAAGATGTCACAACCAACTTTATAACCAGAACAAAATGAACGATTTCGGACAAATGATATAAATACAAATACAAGAAAATTGTCATACCTTTCGTTTTGAATAACACGTTTGAACACAGTAAATTGTTCTATTTGCGTGTAAAAATGATGACTTTACAGGAGCAAATTGGATATTTTTAAACCGGATAGATGGTGAAATTCAATATAATGACGTCACAATGACCTTTACAAAATTACCATTTAGAGGATGTGATTAGTATCTCCAACCTAACTGCATCATCACATAATTTTGACTAGATTATTATATAGAAAATTTATGCTATAGATACATTAAACTGCAGATGATTCAACAACCACACAGATATGCTTAAATTGTTCGGTCACAACAAGCAGTATAGCATGTTGTTACTTCGTTAACAATAACATTATCAATTTTCTAGATTTTGCACAAAATTAAATGAGCTCCAAATTGAGGTTCAAGGGTGACGATGGTACGTGGAGCATGGGAATATGACGGAGAGAGTTCAAACGAGAAGTGTAGTAAAATCATAGACAGTGCCATTTTTGCTTCCAGCATCGCAAAATTTTGTCCAATACATATACGTGGACCCCCTCCAAAGGGGATGTACGAGGTTTGTCCTTTGGTTGCCTTCAACAGGCCTTGTGAAAATCTTTCGGGATTAAACTCCTTCGCATCGTCACCCCAGATTTCATGGTCATAATGTGAAAGCATCGTGTGCAGCTGGATGATTGTTTTGGCCGGTAAAATTAAGTTTCCTAATATTGTTTCTTTGTGAACCATCCGTAACAGTGTGACTATCGGAGGATATAACCTAAGAACCTCGAGGAATATCATGTTAATCTGCAAACCAATATATTAAAATATAAACAAACGGAAAATGAGTTCACAAATTTATTTCGGAAAATTTTAGAACGGGAAAACTTACGATTTTCAGTTGACTTAACCCGTTAATATCTGGTTTTCTCTTCCCAAAGACCTTTAAGACTTCGTCCCTGGCTTGTTCTTGCCAATTTTGGTATTGGCCTAACAAAATCATAGTCCAAACAAGCAAATTTGCAGTAGTCTCTTGCCCTGCAAAGTAGAAAAGCTTACACTCTTCAATGACATCATCAATACTAAGTCCAAATTTGGTGTTCCCGTGTTGCTCGATTTCTTTATAATTGGAGTCTAGTAGTATGCCGAGGAGGTCATCATTTCTACTTTC